TATATTATCACTCTTAAAATAATTGAAAATACTGATCACATAATGAAACTTACCCACAGGTGACGACTTCTTTTCTCAAGTTAATGAAAAAGCACTTTGGAGGCAGTTTTTAAAAAATCTGATTCCCCAGTACAGGTGCATTTCTGAGGAAAACAGAAGTATCTCCTAGGGAGCCATGCCCTGTATTTTACAGAGGACAGTCCTCTATCTGAATGACTGGCAGACTTCATGGGCTGTCTAATCTAAGCCTGGTATAACGATAAAAAGCCACAAGATGGAGAACAGGAGGGGCCAAAAGTTACTTACCCATGTTTAACATTTCCCAGAGATCAGACTGAAATGGCATGCAGGTAGTTTGGTCACACATCTCCCCACTATGTGAGATGTGCTTAAATTGTAGCCATTACTTCTAAATTTGCACATTTTATGCAAGTCTGTGTTTTTTGTCTTCTTTTCAGATGATGAATTTCCTCTTTCCTGTAAATGGGTCTGTTGCCACCCAAGTATCTCTTAAGGGGATGACAACTTAAAATGCAATAAACAAAAGCTGCTATGATTCTTCTGGGGAGATGCCATTATTTTCCAACAATTTGGCTCCCTTACAATATAATGCTGGAAACTACTCTGATGTACTCCAAATGATACCACTCTACTTGGATTGTCAACTTTCAGTTTCCAAAAGAGTCGTATTCGTATGGAAACAGAGAGGAACGGGACAGTAGGACCAAGAGGGAATCCAGCAAGTCTGGGAAGGACCCACCTGAACGAATGTCTCCTTCCTTATACACCCTCACACCCCTTAAGATCTGTGGGAGATTCCCTGCTCCGGGAACCCTCCCTGTAGGAGGTAAGAAGGACATCTTCTCAGAGTAGGGTCTTCTCTGCGGTGGTGCCCAGATTGTGGAATGCATTCCCCAGAGAAGTTTGCCTGGTGCCAAGCCTATATTCTTTTCGGCACCAGGTCAAAACCATTATTTTAAAAATTAGCATTTTAATGGTTTTAACAGTCACTTTTGAATTGATTTATTTTTATTGGTTGTATATATGTTTTTATATTGCTGTATTGATTCTTTTTACTAGATTTTGATTTTAATGTTGTAAGCCGTCCTGAGATGCTATACATGAAGGATGCCATAGAAATGTTTTAAATAAATAAAAAAATCGGTTGTGGGTGGAGTCTGGCAGAATGCACTGGGCAAGAGGTGAGACTTGTTGAATCCTGGACAGAGCCTGGAAGAATCTGATGGACCATGAGTGGAACGGGAGTCCGTTGGCTTTTTAAGGCCCATTGCTATTTATTTATTTATATGCCGCCCCATTTGCGCCATTTGCATAAGCCTCAGTGTGGCTTCCAATCCATAAATAAATACAATCTATAGAAATACATAAAATACTGGAGACATCCTGGCAAAATTTTAAAATCAATAAATAACATCAACAATTAAAATAGCGTTTAAATAATTAGGTGACAGAACATGGTTTTATGAGTCAAACCAGTAGCATACTGGCTGTTTGGCAAGCCAGGGGTGTGTTGTCATGGTCTGAGGGCTTGACTAGGCCTGGGGAGACCAAAGTGCCCATTCCCACTGATTATGGAACTCACTAGGCAATACTACTGCATCATTCCAAGTCCAGACTAGCTCCTTCTATGAGGAGCTCCACGGAGTCTGTGCTGAAGCAGGCTCCCAGTCTTTCCAGAAGTGTCTCACAGGCTCTGGAGTTGTGCAGTTCTAAGCTGGCTCTGGGAAGTAAATCTTCCTTGCCACACAGACAAGGAGATCAGGGTCAACATCTTTGGTGCTAAAACCCAACTATGGGAGTGCACGGTGCTGAAGAAGCAACCCCAGTGTAGTTACTTTGTGAGAACTTCTGGTAAACATTTATTTATTTAGCCATAGGGAATCTTGGGGCAATGTACACAACATGAAAAACCAAGCAACCAGCAAACCCAATATTTAATTGTTAAAACTGGTAACAGATTTAAAAGATAAATTAAAATAGCAATTCTTCACCTAGCAGGTCAAGTGAAACTCAAAGTTCCATCTACCTCAAGCATAAATTAAATCTAAAAGGGTGATGTTCTGAAATATTTAAATCTTTGGGTAAGAAGAAATGTTTTGATGTGGATGCCGAAAAGAAATCAAGGCTGGGATCGATCATGCCATAACATGCCATATTTCCTGTTCTACATTCAGTGCCCTCAGATACAGATGCTGGTGGTCTAACCAACAAACTACTGCATGAGTTGATTGCAATTTTCTCTTTTTTGCCACCACTGAAGTGGCAAAATATATTTTCCAGGCCTATTCATTCACGTGTGATGACATATGTGCTAATGACTTAGTGCAGCTATCAGCGATCAAAAGCCAATCTTTGGGATGATATTGCCCACCACCAAGGGCCAGAGTTGAGAAAGAACATCATTTGATGTAGTCGACCTTGCAATAAAAATGTAGAAAATGTGCAGTGTAATCTTATCCATGTTCATTCAGCAGAAAATCCCACCAATTCCCAGGGATGTGCGTACAGGACAAGACTACAGGGGAACAAGAGCTTTTCTATATGAAACATTTATTGGCTGCTTGTCATTCCCTACTCATGCTTCTTTATGGGTTTGTTAGACAATCTTGTAACTCTCCAGTTTTGGTTCTGTGTATAACTAGCAGTTTTGGTGAGGTTTTTAGTGAGGCATTTAACTATGAAATTGGAAGAAAACACACTTTCCTCTTGTGTATTTTGCTGTTTTACAGTGCCACCTAGAGATTATGTAGCAGAACAGCAGAAATGGAAATGTTGCTTTCACAGTGCTTGGATCGCAATTCTGTGACAAAGCTGGAAGTCAATAAGGCAGATTAACAGACAATTAACACACTTGTGCTAATTGTGTGCTATTGCATTTGTGACTTCCCATGGCCATCTGCATTTATACTGTGGGAACAGAATTCTGGACAAGATGGATCTGCTTCTAAATGGATTTGTTTAGGCTTAATCTGCTAATCGGTGTTCTTTCTGTCAAAGGAAATCCAGAAAACTGGGCAACAATGAGCATCTGAATGTCTGAATGTCATGTACTCTACCAGATCCAACATTTGTGAGGAGATGTCAACAGTGCTGGCCTTAAGCTCACCGAAACTGCACGGTGGTGATGAAGTGGCCACAGTCTCACTGCTGTCACCTTGCGGCATTCTTTCATTGTCAAGTCTGGGGTTCCTTGCTCCTACCCCACGGCACTCTGTTACAGAAGCCAGTACCCCACCAGTGAACCATTTCATTAGCTACGGCTGCAGCTTTCCCCTTTTACTCACATGTAAGCAGGAGCAACACAGTTGGGAAGCCCTACCCATTCATACGGAATCCCTACTCAGGGCAGGAATCCGGTTTGAGACATCCCTGAAGGATGGCTGTCCTGCCTATGCCTGAATTCCATCAGCCACAGAGAGGTCTCCGCCTCCCTAGGTAGCTGGCTCCATTTTTCTGACTGCTCTGACCATTAACATGTTTCCCCTGATGTGCCACCAAAATCTGCCTTCTGTAATTTAAGGCCCTTATTTTGGGTCCTGCACTGTTGGCTGATAAGGAGACAGTGTTGAACTCTCTTCTGTGAACTTTCCTCCGTCAAGCATTCGTTAGAGCATCCATTATTTCCTACTCCTGGTTGTTTATTGGTTCTTTAGACCCTCCAGTTTTGCTTCTGTTCTGAAATAGCATTTTTGGAAAGTTTTTGTTTAAGAGCAGCAAAAAAGCAGCATTTAATTGTTTAGAATGTAAGAAAATGCTTTTCCAGTTGTGTAATTACACCAGTCTACCCATGGTCAGCTTGGAGGTCATGCAGTGGAGATACAGGAAAAGAAAGATTACTCTGTCATGGTTGGATTTCAATTCTGTGATGAAAAGGAAAGTCAATTCAGTAGAAGAACAGCCTGGTATAGGTTCTGGGGACTGCACTTTAGGCACCCCAGAGGTCTTATCATATCCCCCATGTGTCCCCTCTGCTTAAAACCAAACATACCTTGTTCTTTCAATCATTCCTCACAAATCAGTTTCTAGTCCCCTGACCAGAGGCAGTCTTAGAGGCTGGAGCCCCAAATCTTTGGTCTTCCCAAGTCCTGAATCTCGGGGAGACCACCTGTCCTGTCAGCATGGGTCCTTGGGGTTCCGGCAATCCCTGCTGCGTCTGATCCCTCCAGAACAGCTGACAGTTTTGCCCATGTGGGCTCCATCTTCTGCTGCTCTTGCCCATGACTCTTTTGGCTTGATTTCCCCCCTAAAGTCAAAAGCCCTCCTTTCCCCAGACCCACCCCTTTAAGGGTGTCCTTAAAGTCACCCTCACACATACACATACAAAGATCTTAGTGCATGAGGAAATTAGCACATGCACATCTTGTGCATTTTTCTTGTCCTCTGGAGCCTGGTACCGTCTCTGCTGCTGAGCATTTTTGCTGCCCTTCCTTGCACTTGTTCCAATTTATCTGACTCCATCTTCAAACGTGGTGTCCAGAAGTGGACCCAGTATTTGGGGTCTGACCTGCACAGAGCAGAGATGGACTGTTCATGTGACATTTGGGTCAAAGGTTCTCAGCTGAGACTGTGGCTGAGCGAAAATTTGAGCCAGCTCTGTGGCTCACAACTCATTCTCTTCACCACCACATTACATTGGCTTTCAAACATACTATCTTGGTAGCCCTCTTAACGGCCCCTCTCTCTCTTTTGGGAACCAAGCTTGCTTGCCACTTTTTAAAGTATTTTGGTTGGGTTACAGCAGTATGATCTTAATTCAGAAGGTGCACTTGTGTGCACTGGATGCTCAGTTCTGAAAAAGGAAAGGATATTCTGAAACCAAAGAGATGTGGAAATGCTTTGCTGCTATGTATGATCGTACATTTCCTGTGACAGGAAGAGATTCACTTTAGTCTAACATCTGTGACTTGACTTTTAATTAAAATTACAGATATCATCCAAATCCTATTCTATAAATTATAGTTAAATGAAACATCACTTACCTCATCTGAAATTTGTCCTCCAAATGTGACCCATGTCCCTAGAAAGAAACACAATGATTTGTTATTCTTTAGGGCTTTCCTTTGATATACAAAACACATTATAATTAGGATACTTTTCCCGTAGGGAATCTCCTGAGGTTGATGTGTTCGGTGAGCAATTTTCTAATGAGAATGTACACCATGGACTAGGAAAGCTTTCAGTTTAATTGGTTGACATGCTACAGTGCCCCTGCACTTCTACTGCTCAAGAAGTTGGTCATAATTAAGTAGGAATTTTTCCTTTCTGAACAGGACATGGATGAAATGGCTCAATGCGAAAAGATTGCTGTCAGTGGGAGCACATGTCTTGTTTGCAATTAGCCATGGTTAAGTGTGACAATAGTGAAGTGCCCCAGAAGATCTCGAAGCTTGCTTTGACCGGGCAGGATGGTCACCCCACTGGCCAGGGCAGTTCCCACAAAACTATTCCACACCAAATATCTGAGGTGGCATAATGAAAGACAGCTTAATTTAATCTTGCATGCACAAGAACAAGCCTAACTGAGTTCAATAAGGCCCATTTCCAGTGGACATAAGATTGCAGCCTTACAGAGAAATCCAAACTGAGGGGAGGATGGCCAGATGTCCTGATTTGCAGAGCTCAGTCCTCTGTTTTGGAGAACTGGCAGAAAGTGTCCTCTGTTTGATGGGCTATCCAGTCTGGATCTAGTCTAAAGTGAAAGAGCCCAAGAAGGAGAGATCATGGACTCCTAAGCCACTCAGGAACACTTAGTACCTGGCCAATAGTAGACTGAATAGGCAAACTGATCACACCCTTTCCAATTAGCCTTTGTCCTCTTTTGTGGGGGCAATACATTTCCTCTCTTTTGGTGTAGCATAAATGGTCACCCTACATTAAGATCACATTTCATGAGGACTAGCTAAATGCTCCAGTGTTGAAATTACATATATTGACTTTTTAACTTAAGGGTTGAAACGTAACACTCACCCTTACCAGCCAATAATTACAGCCCTTTTTTGCAATAACATACCAACACCCCACCCCCACACACACACCAAAAAGTGGCACCATACACACTGCATATTGGCGAGTTCCTTGTAATTGGTCATTATTTACCAGGTATCTTGGATGATAATACAGGTTAAGTATGAATTATTATAGGAGGTACTAATAAAGTTTCAAGATAACTCAATGATCATGTCATAAAGAACAGCGAGAAGAGAGAGATATAAAAGAAATGTTCCTGATAGTGAAACAGAAACCATTTGTTCTGATTAGACGTTGCCGTGAATTGATTTTTCAGTGGGTGCTCCCTGCTAAACCCTTTAGAAACAGTCCTTATTCCAGTACACTGCTTGGCATTTCTCACTTTTTCCATTCCAGCTGCAGCTCCCATAATCAACATCATCATTAATTTTATTTCTATACCACGCAACAGCTGAAGCCCTCTGGGTGGATGAACCACAACTCCTAAAATACAATAAAATACAAGTAACAGGTCTGCCAATATCTTAGTCTAGCCTTCCCCCACCAACCTAGTGCCCTCTGGGTTTTTCTTGACAATTGTAGATAATGGGACTTGTAGTGTGTAGGGAACCAGATTGGGAAAGGCTGCCTGTGTTAGAGGACATCCTTTCTCTTTTATAGATTCGTAATGTACAGGTACGTATCAATGACATGGTTAGCTTTTTAGGGGTTGTTTTTTATTTCTAATATATGCAGATCTGGAAAGTATTGTGGCTTATTGATAAGTAAAAGGTTAAACAGCCTTTGTTTTGTTCTCACCACTTGAGTTTACACATCATGTTGATATGGAAGAACAGAGTGCTGAAGTGTGAAAAATGGGAATTATATAAAACATTGTCCTCTGCTCTTTGTTACCTAGTTACCATGTCACTTCGATTCAGTCACAGTCACAAAGCAACCTCGAGCCTGCCAACTCAGAAATGTGAATGCGTTAATGTGGCTGGGTGAATGTGTCAAGGCAGTGTTTGACTCGATGGAGAAAGGTGGGAGAGGCTTAATAAAGTAAGCTTCACCCCATGTCTCTCCCTTCCCAATTTTAGTTGCCCTACACAGTCTTCTAAAAATGGTAGCTGAGGGAGCTGTCATATCAGGTTAGGCATAATTAAGAAAGAAATCAAAAACAAAACTGGTATTATCGCACTTCCCTTCTATGAATCCCTCGTGATGCGGCCATACTTGGAATGCTATGCACATCTCTGGCCAACACACCTAAAAATGGATATTATAGATTTGGGGAAACTGCAGAAAAGGATAACTAAAATAACCAAGGCACTAAAGCAACCTCCTCGTAAGGAAAGCTTACAATTTAGGGGACTTAAGGGGGAAGAACAAGCAGGGACATGATAGGATTGTATGAAATTATGCAGGATGAGGAGACATCTCTCTCCCTCTGTGTAATGACAGTAGAACCAAACTGATTCTCATACTGCATTACCTCGTGAAACTGATTGGTGGAAGATTCAGGACCAGGAGGAGGAGGAGGAGGAGGAGGAGGAGGAGGAGGAGGAGGAGGAGGAGGGGAAAAATGTATTTTACAGAGTGCATAAATAAAAAATTCAATTCACTTCTACAAAATCTAGTGATGATCACCAATTTGGATGGCTTTAAAAGATCTCTGGACAGAACCTAATATCTCCGTACACCACTTGGTTCCATGCCCTGCTTCTGGGTTTCGTGAATGCATCTGCTTGGTCGCCGTGTGAACAGATTTGGACTAGGTAGATGTTTGGTTTGAGCCAGTATGGCTCTTCTTATGGTCTTAGTTTGCCCTGGATATATTTATTAATTATTTTATTAATAGAAGTGCAGGATAACTATCATCAAGCTATCTTTATCAAGCTGAAGTCATATTTGTTATTCCATCCTGAGCTAATAAAAGGCATTTCTGCCACTGAGGCCGCCTGGGCATCAAATGATGATTGCTCCAGGAGCATACACAAATTTCTGTATCCACTTGACGAGTAAACATAAAACAAACTTAATTTCAAGAACAAGTGGGATCTGTTGCAAAATGTTCAGGATATTCTACTCCATCTTCCTCTCATACAGTTTTTCATTTCCCCAGTTTCTAAACAGTTTAGAAAGGGTAGAAATATTGACTCATGTTCAAAGAAATATTTGCCCTGGACTAGGGTGAGGGTTGAACCCAGGGTAGGGTTAGGGTTAGAAAAACTAGGTGTCCTGGCATGATTTTAATGCTTGGAATGTGTTTAGAAAGGGTAGAAACGATGAGCAGTGCAGAAATGCTACTCGAACAGAGGATTTTAAAAATTGCCTTAGGTTCAAAGGAATTTCTGGCCCAAATTAGGGTTAGGGTTGAACCAGGGGTAGGGTTAGGGTTAGAAAAACTAGGTGTCCTGGCATGATTTTAATGCTTGGAATGTGTTTCAAAAGGGAAGAAAAGATGAGCAGAGCAGAAATGCTACTCAAAGAGCGCTTTTTCAAAATTACCTTATGTTCAATGGAATTTCTGACCCAAATTAGGGTTAGGGTTCTAAACAGTTAAAATTCAACTGAATTGAGCTTAATCTGCTGTCATTGGACTGTTTGGGTTGATCTTTAGGGTTGAACTCCACCAAGATACATTTGTATTTCTGCTAGGGGCTCTTCTGAAGCCATCAGTTTACCCTTATGTACAGATTAACTTTCTGTACTCTGGTTGTCTCTCTATATGTTGGACGACAACTTGCATAACTCTCAGCCAGCGTGGTCATCCTGCCCTCTAGACACACCGTTCATGATTCCCAGCTTGGGGAAGCTGACAAAGATGGGGCCATTTTAGCTATTTAAGGACTTGCACTGGGCAAGCTGAGATTGCTGTTGATATATCTGAAAGCACATAATATGCCAGATGCACCCCAAAGCACCCTCCTCTTCTACAACATTACTCATAAGGCTTTAATATACTAATGACGCACCTGGTTGGGACTCAGGGGAAAATATGAATTAGCTTCCTGTTTCTAGTACACTTTTTCTTCTAGCTTATTTCCTGTCTTTAATATGCTTCCCAATGTCTGCTCCGGTAACAACTTCTTGGCATCTCAGTTTTCATTAGGAAAATAATGATACTGTATTTTGCTTCCAAAATCTTTTCTCTTTTTGGTATCTTTTCTCTATATACATTCCACATGCCTTGTGCACAGGGATAGCTTACCAAAATTAACACCAAAAGACCCCTCCCCCCCACTCCAAAAGATAAAGAGAGTTAATTCAGGAAGCCAATTTTCTGTGTAAGTGATTAAAACAATCCAGGAAACGTATTCACATTTGAAAGCTTCAATTGTTTTATTAATAAATCAGTGAATTAAAATTAATCTTCTGACTGAACTCTTTCAAACTCTCTACCATCTTTTAAAAGCCTCTGTGTGATTTACTGTTAAGTAACGAGAAGAAAAATAAAAAGGAATAATGGGTCTACTTTGTGGATTCATTTTTGTTTTCCTTTTAAATTTAGGATAAGGTGCATATATGCAAGTATACCCCAAGTGAGTGTAGGCATGTTTCATCTGCATCTTTCTGATGTGTACAGCCTCTCTCTCTGACTGATATCTGCTATTTACTCTAGCAATGGCAAATAGCTTCAAGGAAAATTCACAGCGCTGATATGATCCATTCCACTTACTCCAATATTCTACTGCATAGCTAGGTTTGCAAAATGGAGAAGTGGGGTGGAACAGCAATGGAAATCACCATGTATGTGTATATTACTTAGATTTGCTCATGATTCCTAAATAATCTCTTTCTCTGAAAGAATCAATTAACAAAGTTAGCATTATTTACACTGATACATTCTGGTTCATCTTTACAATTTATTTGTACATCATTCATATATAGAAAATTGGCTAGGAAGTACATGCTAGTGGAGCATACTGGGAGTAAGAAACTGAAATGTGAGCCAGATTCTCACAAATTTTTACCCCTGGCATGACCTTCACTGGCAACCTCAGGTTTTTGTTACTTTTTTCTTTCATCTGTGAAATTGGGGTCATGATATTGAACAACTTTCAGAAG